AATTGCCACCTTTAATGCTATTAGAGAGTTCAGAATGTGGGTGACTGTGGTGTCCAGTTGACCTATCTACAGCTCAAGACCAGCAGATCCTACCAGGACAAACAAAAAAAATGCCATTCTCAGTTTTCGTGGCCTTGCTGCTAAAAGGATCAAAGTCTATAGTTCCTCTCAGTGAAGTCACACATGTTGGCTAGGCCGCACAACCCCTCTCTAGTGTAGTGGAGAAGGTGAAGTGACCATTGTTCCTTTCAAAGGCAGGTGGTTGGATGGATGAGATCTGGCCCTCGGAAATGGGAAGTGGCCCTCCTGCCTCAGCTCTGACCCTCTCCACTCCACACGCACCTGGAACTAGCTCTTCTGCCTATGGGTGTATATGAGTCTCTCTTCTTCCCTTTAGGCCACAGAGCAAGGCCCAGAACCCTGTCTCTGTTACCCTTTCCTCTTTGGCCTGGCCTCCCCAACCCACCCCTCGTCCTCACCCTGGGCTGCTGTCTCCAGGGCCTGCCCTCTGGGGTCCACCAGGCTGTCCCTTTCAGCCAAACTCTTTCCAGTCATTTTATTAACTCTCTTAGGGTAATGTTTGTTCATTCATTCACTCATTCATTCATTCAACAAATACTCATTGTACGGAAAACTGAAATATTCAGAAAAGGTAGAGAGGAAAACATTACCCATCATCCTATCGTTCAGAGATAGCCAGGGTTACCTGTTTGGTATGCTTTTGGAACATCTAATCTCTCTTATGGGTAAAAATTTACAATGTATAGCTCTTTTTCAAAACCCTTAAAGAATTGGGTGGATTGATGATTTAGACTTGAAACGGCAATCAGAGATCGCCTAGCCAGACCCTGCCGTGTTTGTACAAGCCAAAGCCCGGAGCTGGAGAGACTTGCCAGAGGTCATCAGCAGCCTCACCTTTCCATCCTGCTCCATGGCTTCTGGGCACAGGCCAGAGGCTCACCGTGAGCACTGGCCCTGAAGCCAGGCCACCTGTGTCTGGGCCCCGCTCCTGCACCATCCAGCAGCAAGACCACAGGGAAGCTACTAACCACTCCACACCTCAATTTCCTCATTCATCAGGTGCTGATAGCAGAAGTGCCAGTCTTGTTCAGTTGTGGTGGAGATTAAATGTTATGTGTAAAGTGCTCAGAGATCGCACATGGTGAGCCACCAACGTGAGCTGCTGCTGCTGCAGCTCCTGCTGCAAAGATTTGTCATTAGTAAAACTTCCTGAAGGGGCTTGGTGTGGACCCTTTTCTGTCAGCCGGGTTTTCATCCTCTCTGCCTGGGACCAGTGCCTACAAGTGTGTCACAGAATCAGAATAAACCACGGACGCAGATTGTGACCCCTCAAGTGTAGACTAATATATTTAGTCTTTAGAACATTTGCTGTGTGTGTTTAAGTC